AACCATTAGCCGTTTTAGATTAACCTTGTATGTAGAAAGAAGGACGTACGGTCCAATTACAATATGCCTAGGGGCATAATAAATAAAATGCGTAAAACGCAAAAAAAACACATAGAAGATAAACAAAGGCGTTTTAAGGCAAAACAAAAGGCGTGGTTTCGCAAAACAAAAGGCGTGGTTTCGCAAAACAAAAGGGTTTAATAACATTCATGTATTGATGCTAATCAAATGGCCTGGTATTTATGCCAGAAACTAGAACTCCGCGAGTCGGATGTGTCGCCTTGTGAACAATATAGTTTAGGAGAAATGGCCAGGACAAAATGGAATATGAAAATTAACAAAGGACAATTACTAAAAAAATAAGAAATGCAGAGCAGCAGTTTCTGTGCTCTGCATTTCTTATCAATAAGATCTATCATCATATGAAGTTTCAAGTCTATAGCTTTTATAATTAATGAGAAATGGCCTGGGCAAAAATAAAGTATGAAAATTAATAAAGGGTAATAACTCAAAAATAAGAAGTGCAGAGTACCAGTTCTTGTACACTGCACTTTTCCTTAATGAGATCTATCATCCTATGAAGTTTGACGACCATAGCTTTTATACTTTAGGAGAAATAGCCTGGACAAAAATAAAGTATGAAAATTAACAAAGGGCAATAACTCAAAAAAAAGGAAGTGCAGAGCACCGGTTCTTGTGCACTGCACTTCTTCCTAATGAGATCTATCATCTTATGAAGTTTCAAGTCTATAGTTTTTATAATGTATGAGAAATGGCCTGGACAAAAATAAAGTATGAAAATTAACAAAGGGCAATAACTAAAACAATAAGAAGTGCAGAGCACTGGTCCTTGTGCACTGCACTTCTTCTTAATGAGATCTATCATCCTATGAAGTTTCAAGTCTATAGCTTTTATAATGTATGAGAAATGGCCTGGACAAAAATAAAGTATGAAAAATAACAAAGGACAATAACTCTAAAAGTAAGAAGTGCAGAGCACCGGTGTTTGTGCACTGCACTTTTTCTTAATGAGATCTATCATCTTATGAAGTTTCAAGTCTATAGCTTTTATACTTAAGGAGAAATGACCTGGACAAAAATAAAGTATGAAAATTAACAAAGGGCAATAACTAAAAAAATAAGAAGCGCAGAGCACCAGTTCTTGTGCATTGCACTTTTTCTTAATGAGATCTATCATCTTATGAAGTTTCAAGTCTATAGCTTTTATACATAAGGAGAAATGACCTGGACAAAAATAAAGTATGACAATTAACAAAGGGCAATAACTAAAAAAATAAGCAACGCAGAGCACCGGTTCTTGTGCACTGCACTTTTTCTTAATGAGATCTATCATCTTTTGAAGTTTCAAGTCTATAGCTTTTATAATTTATGAGAAATGGCCTGGACAAAAATAAAGTTTGAAAACTAACAAAGGGCAATAACTCAAAAAATAGGAAGTGCAGAGCACCGGTTCTTGTGCACTGCACTTCTTCTTTATGAGATCTATCATCTTTTGAAGTTTCAAGTCTATAGCTTTTATAATTTATGAGAAATGGCCTGGACAAAAATAAAGTATGAAAATTAACAAAGGGCAATAACTCAAAAAATAGGAAGTGCAGAGCACCGGTTCTTGTGCACTGCACTTCTTCTTTATGAGATCTATCATCCTATGAAGTTTCAAGTCTATAGTTTTTATAATTTATGAGAAATGGTCTGGACAAAAATAAAGTATGAAAATTAACAAAGGGCAATAACTAAAACAATAAGAAGTGCAGAGCACTGGTTCTTGTGCAATGCACTTCTTCTTAATGAGATCTATCATCCTATGAAGTTTCAAGTCTATACCTTTTATAATTTATGAGAAATGGTTGGACAAAAATAAAGTATAAAAATTGATAAAGGGTAATAACTCAAAATAAGAAGTGCAGAGTACCAGTTTTTGTGCACTGCACTTTTTCTTAATGAGATCTATCATCCTATGAAGTTTCAAGTCTATAGCTTTTATACTTTAGGAGAAATGACCTGGACAAAAATAAAATATGAAAATTAACAAAGGGCAATAACTAAGAAAACAAGATCCGGTTGAACTGGGTGATGCTCCCCGAATAGGTTTTGGACACAGGAAGGTATACCTCTTGTTATGTCAGAGTTATGCCACAGACAAAGTTCAAAGTGTAAAAATAACCCAAATATTGTGCACAACACATTGTCTCAATATGGTGAAATTGTAAAATCCGACTTCAGATAACGAAGTAATGCGCCGGACATGATTTTGCTGCAAGGTCATGCTGTGACCTTGACCTTCAAGGTAGGGACCAAATGTTGCGCGCGACACATTGTCTCAATATGGTGATCATCTCTGTGAAATAGTTGTTAAATCCTACTTCCAGTAACAAAGTTATGGGCCGGACACGATTTTGCTGCAAGGTCATGCCGTGACCTTGACCTTCAAGGTAGCGACCCAAATGTTGCGCGCGACACAATGTCTCATTGTGGTGATCATTTCTGTGAAATAGTTGTAAAATCCGACTTCAAATAATGAAGTTATGTGCCGGACACGGTTTTGTTGCAAGGTCATGCTGTGACCTTGACCTTCAAGGTAGCGAGCCAAATGTTGCGCGCGACACGCCATTTTAATATGGTGATCATTTCTGTGAAAAAGTTTAAAAATCTGACTTCAAGTAAGGAAGTTATGGGCCGTACACGATTTTGCTGCAAGGTCATGCTGTGACCTTCAAGGCAGCGACCCAAACATTGTGCGTGACACGTCATCTTAGTATGATGATCATTTCTGTGAAATATTTTTTGAATCCAACTTCAAATAGCGAAGTTATGTGCCGGACACGATTTTGCTCCAAGGTCATGCTGTGACCTTGACCTTCAAGGAAGCGACCCAGATGTTGCGCGCGACACATCGTCTCAATATGGTGATCATTTCTGTGAAATATTTTTAAAATCCGACTTCAAATAACAAAGTTATGGACCGGACACTATTTTGCTGCAAGGTCATGCTGTGACTTGACCTTCAAGGTAGCGACCCAAATGTTGCGCACGACACGTCGTCTCAATGTTGTGATCATTTCTGTGAAAAAGTTTTAAAATCCGACTTCAAATAACAAAGTAATGGGCCGGACACCATTTTGCTGCAAGGTCATGCTGTGACCTTGACCTTCAAGGAAGCGACCCAGATGTTGCGCGCGACACGTCATCTCAATATGGTGATCATTTCTGTGAAATATTTTTAAAATCCGACTTCAAATAACAAAGTTATGGACCGGTCACGATTTTGCTGAAAGGTCATGCTGTGACCTTGACCTTCAAGGTAGCGACCCAAATGTTGCGCGCGACACGTTGTCTCAATATGGTGATCATTTCTGTGAAAAAGTTTTAAAATCCGACTTTAAATAACAAAGTAATGGGCTGGACACAATTTTGCTGCAAGGTCATGCTGTGACCTTGACCTTCAAGGTAGCGACCCAAATGTTGCACGCGACATATTGTCTCAATATGGTGATCATTTCTGTGAAATATTTTTAAAATCCGACTTCAAATAATGAAGTTATGGACCGGACACGATTTTGCTGCAAGGTCATGCTGTGACCTTGACCTTCAAGGTAGCGACCCAAATGTTGTGCACGACACGTCGTCTCAATATGGTGATCATTTCTGTGAAATACTTTTAAAATCCGACTTAAAATAACAAAGTTATGGGCTGGACACGAATTCGGGACGTACGTACGGCCGGACTGACGGACGGACGGACAACCCGACGACTATATGCTCCCCCGAAATTTTTCGGGCAGCTTAATAAGAAGTGCAGAGCACCGGTTCTTGTGCACTGCACTTTTTTTTAATGAGATCTATCATCCTCTGAAGTTTCAAGTCTATAGCTTTTATAATTTATGAGAAATGGCCTGGACAAAAATAAAGTATGAAAATTAACAAAGGATAATATCTCAAAAAATAAGAAGTGCAGAGTACCAGTTCTTGTGCACTGCACGTTTTCTTAATGAGAACTATCATCCAATGAAGTTTGAAGACCAAAGCTTTTATAGTTTAGGAGAAATGGCCTGGACAAAAATAAAGTATGAAAATTAACAAAGGCAATAACTCAAAAATAAGGAAGTGCAGAGTACCAGTTCTTGTACACTGCACTTTTCCTTAATAAGATCTATCATCCTATGAAGTTTAAAGACCATAGCTTTTATGCTTTAGGAGAAATGGCCCGGACAAAAATAAAGTATGAAAATTAACAAAGGGCAATAACTCAAAAACAAGGAAGTGCAGAGTACCGGTTCTTGTGCACTGCACTTCGGGTCATTATAAGAAGCATGCATACCAAGTTTGAAGTCAATCTGACTTATAATGACTGACTTATGTTCCGGACAAGCTTTAGGTTATGCCGACATGGACGCAGAACAACGACACCGACACCACCGACAAAAGTAACCCCTATATGTCGCCTTTTTCAAAACGACACAAAAAGGTAGAGCAATATTAATATGAATCAGTTGTTTATGATATATGTGCATCATTTTTTTTCATTTATCTACGGATACGTGCTAACGACACAGGCTGGTTTTGTTATATCTTATTAGGAGAAACTAACACCCCTAACCTTTGCTTAGATATCACTTAAAAAAAGAAAGATATGTACCCAAATTAGGACTTAACATACACAAGAGGTACTTTCACCCTAATAGGACTGACCTTATGACACAAACACAAAATTAGGACATACCATCACGTTATTAAGTAATGGTATGATGTGAGTAGAAATAAAGTTCAATTTAGGTGAATTGTTTTCCTTAATATGACGACAGTATCTGTGATAATAAGTTGATAATAACTGATAATAAGGTCATATGATATCTTAACCACGTGATAACTATATCTAAAGAAGAGTATAGTTTTATCTAATCTAGTTGTATCACCTTCACTATCAAACAATACATTACAATTTTAATTTCGAATTAATTTAAATTACACAATGTACTAACCTTTATGATTTGAACATCGTTCCTGTATTCACGCAGAATTTCTTTGATATGTTCTAAAACTGTAGGTCGCAGTATCCCAAGATTTTCCTCGACATCCGAGTCCGCACTGTCACCAGAAATGACGTCAGCCATTCTTTCGAATCATTTAATCACATGACCATGAAATCTGAAACAATACAATAATTTTCATCTCTCAAAGAAAATGAATGACTCTCTATCTCAATATTTGGTCTGCTACGTCATTGAAAATGACTAAAGTATCAACTCAGGATCAATACATAATAACGATTTGTTGGTCTGGTACTATAATCTGGTGACACGTTAGTCTGGTGACACGTGAGACACGTTAGTTTACTATATTTTTAGTTCGATTGTGTTGGATTGAAACACTTGAATCTATGGTGGCTGATTTGTACCATTCATGTTTTCGCTCCGCGACCCCGCCATGCGAAAAGTCGAGAACTAACAAGTTAAAATGGCGGGGACGCGAAGCGAAAAGTCGCTAATTAGCGGGGGCGCGGAGCGAAGTTTAATAAATAAAACTTCGCCTCACGGGGGCGCAGAGCATGATTTAAGAAATCAAACGGCGGGGGCGCGGAGCGAAATCACGCAAATTAGCGCACTCGCTAATAAGCTTGTTTTTGCTCCGCGCCTCCGCCATTTTAACTTGTTAATTCTCGGTTTTTCGCTTGGCGGGGTGCGGGGCGAAAGCAAACTTATTAGCAGGTGGGGGGCGAAGCTTCATTTATTAAACTGCCTCTTGCACCCCCGCTAATTAGCGTGTTTTCGCTCCGCGCCCACGCCGTTAATTTCTTAAATCTCGCTCCGCGCTCCCGCGGGGGTGTTGATAAATATGGTGGCTGATTTGTGTGGTGCCAGATTTGTGCCATGTCGTAATTTTGCTCCAAGGGACACTGGATCAAAACACGAAAATACGACGAAGTCAATAATTTGTTGTACTTTCGCTCTGATTGACCAATTCCAATCCATGGTTTAAATGAATGAAACATTTTTGAACGAAGTTTTTGCCCATGCACCGTCAGCGTTAACAAATATATTTTTCATCAATCTGTAAAGCACTTTTCTTAACCAGGCAAAAAATAGAATAGTATTTGTATTTTATTTTTAACTTTATAACTATACTGTTTATGAGTTTTTGTTAATGATTGAGCATGAAATTGAAAGAAAATATAATAAACTTTTGAATAAAGTTTGAAAGGCAAGACAATAGACATTTTTTTATATTTTTTATGATAATAATTATGCAATAAACATTAGACGTCAGGCTTGACCGATATAAACTATAACAAGCCTGTAACGTCAACAAAACCCACTTACCTTGAGAAAATACGCGCGGGCGTTATAAATATTTATGACCCGGTACCAATTTTGCTAAGTTTGCAACCATTTTGATCGCTCGAACAAAGTGTGCAACCACTTCACGTCCTGCCTCTTGCATTTACACAATTTTAACACTATTCCCCTATTATTTGTTGTCAAGGTAAAAAGTGCACGTGATCCTCGTGTGTACTCCCCGCTCTGAGATTTCAATGCTTGACTGATTTATTGTTTTTCAATATACATGTACATTTAAAGCTCATTGTCCGTTAAATCTTAGTACACTCTTTGTAATGGGTCCTACGTTCAAACAATGACACGTATTAAAATGAACTTACTTTCCAGATGACTAGTTTCAAGCTATTTGTTCAAATTAATAACGGACAGCTCGCATCGACTAATATCTTGCAAATGTGCATGACTTGTATAAACTGTCTCGCATGTCAATATAAAGGTATTTGTAAAAACTGTACTGTTCTGGGATGATAACTTGAGCCTTTGTTTGCATAAGATTAATAAAAAAAAGCAGCAAACTGAAATTCTACAGATAAAACTCAACTCAAACGTAATTTAATCATTTGTCAAGACAGCGCAATCATACATTTACATGTTCGTGTCATGGTTATAGGTACTGTGACATTTGAGTGTTGTCAGAATAATCACAGTTTCACTGTAGATAGTTTTTTTTTACAACGAGTCAGCGATACACTGAAGTGTATCATATTTCAATGTACAGTTTCATTTATAAACCTGTTGCTGGGAGTATAAAATATGTATACATGTTTAAATGTCAAGTCGTTTCAGCTAGCAAATATGCGCGTTTAGAGAGAGATTTTACATCAGTTAGGAGACACACGCTTATAGTGTGAGGGGTTATTTTTTTATTGGGAAGAGAATTTTGTTGTTTTGAAGAGAATTTTGTTGTTTTGAAGTCAGTTTTGTTGGTTTGTTGAAGTGGTTGAATATAATTGTGGTGATCTTAATTGATCAGGGTTTATTGGTTGTAATTTGTTGTTTTGGTTGTTGAGTTATATCTGTTTGTGAAGATATAATTGGTTGATATTGGTTGAATGTTTGGTATTATATCAAGATTATATTAGTTGCTGCTTTGTTTTGAGGATATATGTAAATATTGGGTGCTTTAGTTTAAGTTGTTTTCTGATGCTGATTAGATTGTGTGAAGTTAATATTGTTGGATGAATGTTTGTGGTTTATACCGTATCTTAGAGTTGTAAAAATATTCATTTTTTTGTGTTCTTCATTTTGTGGTGATTTTATTGTTGTTTGGTCATAAGTTGTTAGAGCTTGGGCTCGCCAGGTGTCTTGTTTCGTATAAAAGACGTATACGTGAAAAGATATTTCATATAAGTGGCTGATAAATGATGTGTGTTTGTTTTGGGTGTAAATAATGATCAGAGCTCTTTGTTTTGGGTGTAAATAATAATCAGAGTTTGTTGTTTACATGTATATATTGATTTGAGATAGAAAAGGATAAAAATACCTAAAAAAAAGATAGTGTTAACTAAACAATTACATGCTAGTTTTCCAACTGAGAATATTTCACTTTTATGTCAGGCGGTGTTGCCCAGCCTCCATATCTTGGAAATTGGTTCTAGTATTTATTACTAAATCTTTTCTCAGATTAAATAACATCAAGGCAGACATTTCTCCTGACAATTTGGGGGCTCGTCCGGGATATTCTCTTTAAGTTGGAATCTTTTCTGGCAAAATATTGTTTGTTAAACTTTGATAAAAAATTTGTTAAACTTTAAATCATTTACGATCTGTTGGTAAAATGTAGCATTGTAAAATGCTGTTAGGCAAAAATCGATAAATCTGTTGTAGTGTTATACAAGTAAACCCTCTGTACAATAGAGTTTAAGTAGAGAGTTATATGTATAGAAGCGGTGACGGGCTGTGTTTAAAAGTTTATTTATACTGAAGGAGTTATTGCATTTTAGCAGGAGAGCACCCTTTGTTGAATACTGTTTATACGGTGATAGAATTAAGTGGTCTTTGGGAGACATTTGTTTCGATAGTTTGAGTCATTGTGTTAATAAGTTTATATCGATGATAAAGATATAACTTATAATTTGTTGAGGTTATAAACATCAGTAGTTGATTAAAGTTTATAACCGGTGTTCAGTGGGTGATTATTCATAAAAGTGTTTATCATAGTTGAATAGAAAGTTTTTGCTGCCGGTGCTCAGTTGGTTGTTTTATTAAAGCTTACATTGTTGTTAAACACTACGGGAAGATTATTATCGGTCCCCTGGTTGTTACTGTTGATACAAGTTCATTGCCGGTGCCCGGTAGGTGCCACTGTTATATAGAGATTAGATTTGGAATAACGATTGTCGGTGCTACAGAGGTACACCATTTTGTTGATTAATAAGTGTTTACTTTACGGGTTTCGTAAAAGTTTATTATTTCTTTAATAGTAATCCATTATTAAGCAATTATGGATTATGAGAAATGGGTATCATTGGGAGAGAGGCTTGGGTTGAAGCACGGGAGTTACGTGATTATGTTCAAAAGAAAGAATCAGAATATCTTGATAGAGAAGAGAGAAATATTAGACGTGAAGAAGATAAACGGCGATTTGAGGCCGAGCGAAAAGCAAAAGAAGATGAACGTGAGGAAGAGCGACGGCGATTTGAGGCCGAGCGTAAAGCAAAAGAAGATGAACGTGAGGAAGAGCGACGGCGATTTGAGGCAGAGCGTTTAGAAAAAGAAGCTGAGCGTGAGGAAAAGAAACGTTTATTTCAAGCTGAAGTAGAGATGAAAATGAAAGAGCAAGAAATAGAATTAATGAAGTTAAAAATTGAGGCTGGGGATCGCCTTGATACCCCACCTAGCACCGGTTTGAGGCCAAGATTGCCTAAATTTGAAGAGTCAAAAGATGACATAGATGCTTATATAGAGCGTTTTGAAAGATTCTCTATCAGTCAAGGATGGAAAGAAGACACATGGGCAATAAGCTTAAGTTCGTTATTAACGGGGAAAGGTCTTGAAGTTTACACTAGTATGCCTCCTGAGCAAGCATCAGACTATCAAGAATTAAAAACAGCAGTTTTGAAAAGATACCAATTAACAGAAGACGGTTTCAGAAATAAATTTAGAGAGAGTAAGCCGGAACAAGGGGAGACTGTAAACCAATTTATGGCTCGCTTAGATAGGTACTTTAGTAGATGGACAGAAATGGCCGATGCTGCAGATACAGTAGATAAATTGAAAGATCTTATTATTAGAGAGCAATTTGTCAAAGTTTGTTCAACAGAGCTAGCTCTTTTTCTAAAGGAACGAAAGCCAAAGGATCGTAGAGATGTCATCTCTTTGGCTGAACAATACTTAGAGGCTCATGGCGGTACAATTACAAATAGTAAAAGCTCAAAAGTTGCCAATTTTTCAAATAAATCACCAATACGCCTTAATCAAGGTAATCTATCGAAACCAATACAGCACTTTCACAGAGAAAATAGAAAAGTAACATGCTTCATATGTAATAGAGAGGGGCATGTGGCCAGAGATTGTCGAGATCAGACTAAGAAAAGATATGGGGCTGCTGCAATGTCATATGGAGAGCAAAATAGAAATTACTTTAAAACAAATCGGGATTCTTCACCAAGGAACTGGCGTAGTAGGCCTGGAGAAAATAGACGTGATTGGAGATCAGATGATAAGAAAGTATCGGGATTATGTATGTCAATTTCTCCAACAAGTTCTTACGATGGTTGTATTGAAGAGGGGAAACTTAAATTAGCCAATGGTAATTCTGTGCCTGTCATTACAAGCAGCTGTACAATAGAATCATTAGAAGGTGAACGTCAATTGGATCTGAAACTAGGATATGTTGGTAATCAAGAAGTGAAAGTTCTTAGAGACACTGGTTGCGAGTTAGCAGTAGTTAGAAAGAAGTTAGTGGAAGAAGATCAAATGCTGAATAAAAATTGTGTCATGATAGCAATAGATGGTCGGGCCAGGTTGGTACCTATGGCAAAAATAGACATTGATACACCTTATTATAAGGGTAAAATAGAAGCTATGGTTTTAGAGTCAGCAATTTGTGACTTAGTCTTGGGCAATATTCAGGGTGTACTTGATAAGCCAAATGAGAAGTGGGTTAGTCAAGAAGTAACAAATATAGCTGCTGTTGTTACTAGAGCACAGGCAGAAAAAGAGAAGAAAGCAATGAAACCTCTTAAAGTTCCAAAGGTCGAAGATAATGAAATTACGGTAGATGTTCTTAAGAAAGAACAATCAAATGACAATACGTTACAGCGTTTGTGGCAGTATGCTAGGGAAAATAAGATCATGAAAACAAAAAGCGGTAACAATTTTAGATATGAAGTAGAAAAAGATGTGTTGTATAGAATATTTGAGACGGTGAAAGGTGATTTGAAGTCTGAAACAAAACAAATAGTTGTTCCTAGTAAATATCACAAAAGAGTTATGTCATTAGCTCATGAATCTATAGTGGGTGGGCATTTGTCTGTACGCAAGACTTTAGACAGGATACAGTCTAGTTTTCACTGGCCAGGTATTTCTAGTGATATAACTAGATTTTGTCGTTCCTGTGACATTTGTCAGAAGACGGTGCCCAGGGGTAGACTTCAGAAAGCTCCTTTAGGTGAAATGCCTATTATTGATACTCCGTTCCTGAGAATTGCGGTTGATTTGATAGGGCCAATAACGCCTGTATCGGAAAAGGGAAATAGATACATCTTGACTGTAGTTGATTATGCTACACGTTACCCAGAAGCGGTTGCTTTACCAAGAATCGAGACTGAAAATATAGCTGAAGCATTGTTAGATATTTTTGCAAGAGTAGGTTTCCCATCGGAAATACTTAGTGATAGGGGTAGTCAGTTCACGTCACAACTTATGGAAGAAGTTTGTAGACTTGTATCACTGAAACAGTTGTTTACGACCCCTTACAATCCAAAATGTAATGGTCTTTGTGAGAGAATGAATGGTATTTTAAAAAGCATGTTGAAGAAAATGTGCCAAGAAAGACCTAAGGATTGGGATAGATATTTGTCTGCGGTTCTCTTTGCATACAGAGAAGTCCCTCAGTCAAGTACAGGGTTCTCACCATTTGAACTTCTATATGGAAGAACTGTTAGAGGTCCAATGCAAGCACTAAAAGAATTATGGACAGAGACAGAAGTACCAGAGACACGTAATACGTATGAGTACGTCCTAGATTTGAGAAATAGATTAGAACAAACATGCAAGATTGCTAGAGAGAATCTCAGCAACTCACAAGAAGAGTATAAACATCATTATGATAAGAAAACACGACCAAGAAGTCTAAAGAAAGGAGACAAAGTTTTATTGCTCCTGCCTTCAACACACAATAAACTGATGTTACAATGGAAAGGTCCATTTGTTGTAAGTGAAGCAGTTAACAAGTTTGACTACAAAGTGAAAGTAGGTGATAGAATTGGGATGTACCACATAAATCTTCTGAAGAAATACGAAGTAAGAGAAGATAGAATTTGTGCGAGTGTAGCTGTAATAGAAGCTGAAAATAATGATGATACTGGGGTAGTTGATGATGAAAATCTTTTAGAACTAGTAGACACACAGGGTGAAGAGACGTATAGAAATGTTAATGTTAATGATCAATTAACACTTGAACAAAACTCAGAAGTAAATACGTTGCTTCAAGAATTTGAGGATATTTTTACTGACGTTCCTGGGAACTACAGATCTTGAATCTCACAAGATTGAGTTGACTGACAAAACACCAATTCGTGTTAGACAATATACGATACCATATGCAAAAAGGACAGCGATAGAGGATGAGAATAAAGAAAATGCTTGAATGTGGTATCATCGAACCAGCAAATTCTGATTATAATTCTCCAATTGTTTTGTGAAGAAAAAAGATAATACAAACCCGTTTTTGTATTGACTTCAGACGACTCAACTCTGTAACAAAGTTTGATACAGAACCAATGGGTAATGTTGAGGATGTGATGGCGAAACTTAAAGAAGATAAGTTCTTCACGAAAATTGATTTGACCAAAGGTTTTTGGCAAATACCAATTGAAGCAAAATCAAGACATCTCACAGCATTTTCTACAACAGAAGGTAGTTACCAATTCAGAAAGATGCCATTTGGAATGGTCAATTCTGGTGCAACATTTAATAGAATGATGCGGAAGTTGCTTTCCGGAGTGAATGATACTGATAACTATGTTGACGATGTGCTTGGACATACGGTTACATGGGAGAGACACATGAAGATGTTGAGACAATGTGTTCGAAAGAATACGAAACGCAAATATCACAGTTAAGCCTTCTAAATGTATGATTGGATTTGAAAGTATACCATTCACCGGTCATGTTGTTGGCAAAGGACAAATGCAAATGGAAGATGACAAATTAGTCAAAATTAGAGACGCTATGCGACCAGAGTCAA